TTTTTTTTTTTTTTTTTTTTTTTTTTTTTTTTTTTTTTTTTTTTTTTTTGAGACACTTGTTCTCTAAGGTACGAATTGTCTACACACATAGTTAACCGGTTAAGGTTTTGCTTGAGAATGGGAAAACGACTTCACTTTGGAGGTTTCTGGTGATCTTTCAGTTGTGGGAAGGGCTGTATTTTTCCAGCTTGGACTACTCCACTCGCAAGCCCGCACACAGTCCAGTTGAAACCCTTGTGTTAACTAATTTATGCATCTTCGGTTAGAGTTAATTTTCCTGAGCCTGGTGCTCTCGGGTGCCCCTGGCTGTCCTGGAACTAGCTCTGTAGACCAGGCTGGCCAGGAACTCAGACGTCTGCCTGCCTCTGCCTTCCCAGTGCTGGAATCAAAGGCGTGCACTGAGGATGTTTTTTAAACTTAATCATTTTCTCCCGAGAACCACTAAAGTAGGAATATGCCCCCTTGGTTTGGAACCAAGTGAGAAAGTCTCATTTCTCCCTATACATGGTTTGTTATGTTTTACTTCAGCTCATCATCATTTTAAGACGTAGTATCCAAAATAGGGAGGAAATGAATAAAACTGTTTGAGAATCCTGTGCTTTATTTAATCTGTTGTTCCTGGAAACCCCTTCTTCCCCTTTGTCTCATTACATCCAGGGAAATACCAGTTGCTGCTGGAGAAATTTGAGTGTGGGTATTTTTGAAATTACAACAGAGGAAGTATAATTGTTAAAAGTTCTTCATCTCTGTTTCATTAATTTCCCTAATCTTTATTAGAGAAAGTTAGGGGAAAACCTTCCATGGTCCTGGATTGGTAGAATCGGTGGTGTGAAAATGGCTGTATTGCCAAAATTAATCTACAGATTTAACACAATATCAATTGTGATGTCATAGTTCAGGAGTTTTGAAAAAACAATGCAAGAGTTCATATGGAACCACACACAGAGAGAGAATAGCCAAACCAATTCTAAGGTGTAGGAACACTGCTGGGGGTATTATAACCAGAAAAAGTGAAATGTGGGCAGCTGTTTATATTGGGTTTCATGATCCGAGTTGACGAGCATGACTGACTAGGTCCCTTCTTTAAGGAACAGGATCTACCAAGACACAAACTCGGATCACTGGATTCAGAGTCCAGAGCATTAACCATTACACCACAGG